AACATATAAAAATATAATTAATTTTTGCATATTTGTCTTAATCTGGGAAAACTGTTACCTATTATTACTAGTAGGATTTTTGTACATTCATTAAAATTTTCTATATTCATAATCACGTTGTTTGTGAATAGATACTTGTACAGTCTATTTCCCATTGGTATGCCTTGTATTTCTTTTTCTTTCCATATTGCATTGACTAGGACCTCCAGGACAATATTGAATGAAGTGGTGACAGCCAAAATCTTTGCATCTTTCCTCATTATAGGTAAAAGGGATTTAATCTTTCATCATTAAGAATGATATTAGCTATTGGTTTTTAGAGGAATCTTTTTATTAAAGGAAATCCTCTTCTATTCCTAGTTTTCTGGAAATTTTAAATCTGGAATGGATATTATATTTTGTCAAATGCTTTCTCTGTTTCTTTTGAGATGATCAGATGCCTTTTCTTTTTATGTCATTAATATTAGGTATTACATTAATTGATTTGGGGATGTTAAACCATCCAGAGGGTAGAGCCTCTGAACTACTGCATCTGAGCTAGCAGCATGAGTGGCAACTCACTTCTCTGGAAGTAAAACTCCTGCTCTACAAGGTGGGTTCTATGTGGGGATGGTAGCCCCTGGTCTTCTTGTCTTGTTCCTCTCAGCATGAAATCTCTGCCTATGAGTGTGCTGGGATGTGGGTGGTTGGGAACCGATATTTTAGGCCTCCTGTGCCTTGAGTAGTGCTTATTCCCTGCAAGTGGGAACCGGATGGGTTATGAGAGCCCCGATCCTCTCAGTGGCACCTGCCTGTTTAGAGCCTCTGCAAAACAGAGATGGGGGGTGGGGGGAGGTGGGCAATGAGAAATGTTGGTGGTGTAACTCTTAGAGTGATACTACAGGTTGGAGGAAAGGACCTTGTCTTTCTGGTTGCACACACCTGAAGTATAGCTTCTGTCACACTGAGCTGGGTATAAAGAGGATAGAAGCAAGTTGGGGCTCAAATGCCACAGATTCTCATTGATATTATAAAAATTTAGTAGATTTTTTTGAATAAATGTTTCTCCTTTTGCTGTATGCCCTTACGTCAACTTCCAAGGACTTTAATTGGTTGTTTCTTATAATTTTCACCTGTTGAGTGGTAACTTCACTGGGTGGAAAGTCTGTAGAGCTCCTCACACTCCCATTTTGGGAGTTTTTTCATTTTCTCAAGTTCTTGATTTTTGATTTTTGTCAATCATCATACTTCAGTCATACCATCCCAAGTTCACACCCTTGACTCTTTTATTATTTAAAACTTCAAAGCTATCTTAATTTTGATTAATCCACTTTCTGTGGGTTTCTCTTTCTAGGTCATTCTTGCTTGTATTCCAATCTTGCAAGGAGTTAAACATACTAGGACCCACCTATTGATTTATTTCTGTCACTGTCTCTTATATCTTTGTTGAAAGAGTTTACAATTAATTCAAAGGGCAATAATTATAATCAATTCCTTATATATATATTTGTTAATATTCACACTTCTCTTGGTAGAGGTTAGAGCCTGATAAGATTGGGATTTAAGGGAAAATCACATCGGAAATATTTAGAGACAGCAAGTGTACACAATTTTTTTCCAGGAGTTTTACTGCAAAGTGGAGAAGTAAAACAGATGAGGTGGAGGGTAAGAGTGCCGGGCTCTAGGTGTAAGTAGATTCAAGAGAGGGTTTCTTATTTTTAGAGTTGAATGTTAAGTTTAGGATATTGGCATGTATGTATTTTTACTGGAATGAAGGAATAGAGAATAAAAATTTGAGAATGTGAAGAAATGTTTGGGTATTGGATTCTTATCAAAACTTTATAAACATTTTTAAATGTCTAATTTAAAAGGTGAACAAAAAAATTCTTTCA